AACAGAAACACATTGCTTCTAAAATCGTTCTGTGTCAGAATACTGAAATCTGTATTTTTTAAAATATTTTTTTCCTTCTAATTTGTTATTATTTACATTGCTTTAAAAATTATTCTGTGTGACACGGAAAAAATTGGGAAATCGTGTTGGTGAACACGAATCAATAGATTAATTTCGTGACTATAAAACGAAATGCCGTGAGACTGGGCTGTATCTTCCCGAATACATTGATCTGAAGATGGTGATCCTAAGCAAAATATCTCAGCGTTTTAAAGACAATGCCACGTTTCCTCCTGGCTCACTTTCTGACGGCCAAAACACAAAAGGGTTTGTAACGTCCTGAGAGGATCAAAGGTAAAAGAAAACCAGACGCCTTTTTTACCCTTATGGTTAATTTCTAACGAGATTGAAGTTCCCGCCTTCACTTCCTGTTTCCCATCGCCTTGAACTTGTCATTCCCACTTTCTCTTTTAGTCTATCTTTGTTCTCCTTCCATCACACTTGATTCCTGCCATTTAAAGCTGATTGATTCCTGATGTATTGACGGTTAACAATACTGTTATACTTAGGTCTGACGATGGAGATCCAAAGATATTTAAGTAAGTATTTGTGCTCAAGGTTACAAGTACACTTGGCCCTTTTTGTTAACTTTCACATTTACCCTTTTTGCTCATTTCAAATATGATTTAAGTTCCTGCGTTCACTTCCTGTTTCCTTCACTATACAGCCTCTCTTTTAGTCTATCCTGTCATTTAGTCTTATTGAAAACTGAATGAAGTGCCGGATGCTTCCTGATCATTGATGGTAAAGCTTTACTTTCTCTCTGAATGCATCTCCTTCATGATTGAATGAATGAATGTTCTATATTATTTTAATGACAGATTGAGTATTATTTTAGATATGTTATATGTTGAACTGCTATGCCTGCCATCTCTGCTCTGTGTTATTGTGTTGTGTGCTGGGTTCTGTAGTGTTCGGAGTCTGTCTTTTTATTTTCTTTCCCCCCTCAGGAAGCCTTGTGCCTCCTGTCAGGTCATCATTGAAAATAAAAATGTGTTCTTAATTGATTACTACTACTACTACTACTACTACTACTACTACTACTACTACTACTACTACAGCTACGGCTACTGCTAACTACTACTACTACTGATGAGTTCTTCAAAGTTGTATAACCAGTGAATCTTACCAAGTGAATTTAGTTTTCATATTACTACGTTTGCATTAAGTTGGTGATTTGACTTGTCATTAATGTTAGACTTTTCAATGCATTTTTTATCTCTGTATAATAGCGCTTGCAACAAAGGCAATTTCAGTTTTGCTCCAGAAGTGTTGAACGTGGCACATCCTTTACATTTAAGTTGTGATTCTACAAAAAAAAGATTCATCGTGGATTTATTTACAGTCATTCAAATCATATTTAAGATCAGGAGTCCAAGCTCCTTTTCTCTGGAACCAACTAATCAGAGAGGCAGACAGTGTCCAAACTTTTAAGAGCACGTCGAAGACCTACACGTTTAACAAAGCCTTCAGTTAGAGCTGGCATTTTATGGTATTCATTTGAATGTTTTATGTATTTCAGACAAAGGCAACCTCAGACTCTCGTTCATTTCAGTTTTGCTCCAGAAGTGTTGAACGTGACACATCCTGAAGTTGTGATTCTACAAAAAATGATTCATCGTGAATTTATTTACAGTCATTCAAATCACATAATGCCTCTAAAATCCTCCTCCTACCCAGAGTCTTTCCAGTGTTCAGTGAACGGACGTTACTGTTATTGGTAAAGTCCGGGCGGTGCAGCGTGGCCGGGCCTCTTCTCAGAGTTCCCAGAGTGCTTTGGGGCGTTGTTAGCGTTGGTAGCGTTAGCGTCGAGGCCCAGCGAGCGTCGGTACGCAGCGGAGAGACGGTACAGCACGTCGGGTCGAGGGCCGGGGTGAGAGTCCGCTTTCTGGGTCATCAGCATCTCAAACAGGGTGCTGACCTCAGAGAGCAGCGCCCCCCCCAGAGGACCCTCTTTCTCTGGAGTCTTACCTAAAGGACGGAGAGGAGGAGGGGAAAACATATCTTTAAAATGATAGAAGAATGAAGAATCACTGATTTCAGCTTCAAAAATTGCCTTTCATCCAAGATTCAAAAGTTTCAATGTCAAAAGCTGCAGTGAATAAATGGGAATTAAGTGTTTGTAATGTTATGATATCTTCCTAATTAAAATCTAATTGTATGGCGTTGTACAGTATGTTGTATAAACTAAAATGTAGGCCTGTAAATGTCTATCCATACTGTATGTCTGGGCATTTATATGAATCTACATGCATTACAGTGACTTTATGTGTGATTTCGGTGGGTCTAAAGTTCAATAAGAATCCGAATTTGATAAAAAAAAAAATGAAACACAATCTAACATTGACTCTAGATTTCAGAGTTATTGTTTTGAAGTTTATGTTTTTACCGAATGTGGAGAAGGAGGAGGAGTCCAGGGTGTCCCGGGGGGGAAGCTCACTCTCAGGGGACGGTGGCCCGGTGGGGTCAAAGACGTTGTCGTGGTAATCACTGCTGAGCGGGAGAGAGAGGCGGGCCATCCAGGACGGGTCACTGACATCCGAGAACACGTCGTCTGCAGAAAGAGATTCATTTCAAAGGTCAAAATCCACTTCTTCATGTCTCTTCTACGTCAACATGTGTCCCCTCTTCTCCATGTCTCTTCTACATCAACATGTGTCCCCTCTTCTTCATGTCTCTTCTACATCAACATGTGTCCCCTCTTCTTCATGTCTCTTCTACATCAACATGTGTCCCCTCTTCTTCATGTCTCTTCTACATCAACATGTGTCCCCTCTTCTTCATGTCTCTTCTACATCAACATGTGTCCCCTCTTCTTCATGTCTCTTCTACATCAACATGTGTCCCCTCTTCTTCATGTCTCTTCTACATCAACATGTGTCCCCTCTTCTTCATGTCTCTTCTACATCAACATGTGTCCCCTCTTCTTCATGTCTCTTCTACATCAACATGTGTCCCCTCTTCTTCATGTCTCTTCTACATCAACATGTGTCCCCTCTTCTCCATGTCTCTTCTAC